CCTGGGGGCTGAAGGGCCTCCTGGGTCACCTGCTTGTCCCTCCAGCTCTCAGAAGCCCTGCTCTGGAGTCACCAGCGCTGCTGCAGAGAACAGAAACATCACCTGTGTCATCGTAATGCCACACGTTTCATAAAACACCACAGAAGAAGCCCGACAGGTCCCAGAACTAAAGGGTCGCAGCGCCACTTTGGTCCGGGGGGTGCTTTCTGCGCATTTCTAAAAGCCCCCACATGGCAGGCCCGGGGGGCGGGGCAGAACTGCTCGGTTGCACAGCTGAGGAAGTTGCCTGGCTTTGCTCAGAACCACCAATGGTTTCTAGGCATAAAATCCCAAGTGCACAGGTCGCCTGGGTGCTGTGGTCCCTGCCCCTCCAAGGTCACATCCTTCTCCCCCTCACTGCTCCAGCTGCCGTGGCCTCCTCGCGCCTCCAACTCACCACACAAGCTGTGACCTCAGGGCCTTTGCACTGGTGCTTCTACCTGGAACCAGATCTCTCCATGGATCTCTTCTCCTTTGGTCCCCATTCTAGGGTCTGCCCCAGAAAGGCCTTCCACGACCACCGATCAGAGTGGCTCACACATCTGTCCCTGGGCTCTCACCTACTGTATTTAACTTGCTGTATTTATGCCAGCTGCCATTCCACGTGTTCATACAAATGAAATCTGTCTTCTTGTAGCAGAATATGGCCTCCAGGGGCCTCAAGAATGTGGCTTTCGGCCTAGAACAGAAGCTGGCGCATAGTGAGTCCTTGATAAATAGTTGTTGAATGAAGCCAGGGAGGGTGAGGGAAGGGCCAGACCCAGAATCACGTTTAGGTTTCTGCAAAACCTTGATGGCCAGAACGCGGGGTGAGGACACACTCCTGACGGGGCATCAGTCAGCTTTTCCTTACCATAACGAAATACCCGAGGCAGGATACTTATGAAGAAAAGAGGTTAATTCAGCTCACAGTTTTACAGGCTGAAAGTCCAAACTGCACGGCACAGGCTCTGTAAGGGGCCCCATTGGCTGTGTCACTTCATGGTGAATGCTCTCTTCCTGACAGAAACCTCAGGTGGCACACGGTACCAAGAAACTGTGTGTGTGTGTGTGTGTGTGTGTGTGTGCGCGCGCGGGCGTGTGTGCATGCCCTGTCAGACAGCAGGAAATGCTATGAAGAACAAAACACGGTGAGGGGAGAGGGTATCAGGAATGGACGGACAGGGCGACTTTGAGCCCACCTGAAAAACATGAGGGAGTGAAGCCAGAGGCCCTAAGAAGAGTGTTTCAAGCCACGGGAACAGCATGTGCGAAGGCCCTGAGGCAGTGCTATGACATGAGGCAGTGAGGCTCCCTCTGCTTCCCGGCTGACCACCTTCCTCCCTTTCTCTGGGACAGCGACCTGTCCAACCCTCCCCCTCTCCCCCTTCCTGCAGGTTCCAGAACACAGTCGGCCCTTTCCTGGGGTGCTCCTGGTCCATGGAACCCTGTGGCCACCCTGCTTCTGACTTGCCAAACGTAAAGCTGTTCCCTCAGACCTGAAGCCACACAGGGGCTCAACTTGCCGGCTGTGTGACCTCAGGTAAGTCACTAAACTCTCTGAACCCATTTCCTGCTCATCCTAGAGGAGGCCTCTCAAAGGGGTGGCAAGAGGCTGATAAGGTGGCGCCTGCCCAGCAGACAGCGGGACAGACACACAGCACTCAGCACACGGGAGTGATCCCAAATGTCCCCACCGCTCCTTCAGAGGAGTCGGGGAGGGGCCAGGTGGCCAGAGGAGAATTCCTCTTGGATCGCGGCCTCTCTTCACAGGTGGTGGGGACCCACAGCCTGCGGGGCCTCCCTCCAAACCCTGCTGTCCTGCGGCAGCCTCGGGCGGTCGAGGGGACGAGAGGACAGGGGACCAGGGTGGAGGGGCCTCCTGCAGCTCAGTCCCCTGCCTCACCACAGTCCCCAGGAGCCAGGATGGCCTGCCCCACAGCGCCACCTGGTGGCCACAGCTTCCACGCGGCCATGGTCCCCTGAGAGGGACGTGGGGCGACTCCGCAATCGTGAGTGCCCAGCCACAGCCTTCGGAGGACCGCTCTTCTCAGTCACAGGGCCGTTCACCCCGTCTCAGATCCACTCGGCAGAAGGAAGACACGGAGAGGAGGAGAGTCGCCGAGAGAGAGGGACAGAAAACGAGTCGCGGTCCCCGCAGGTCGGGGACAGAGCAAAGCTGAGAAAAGAAAAGAAACAGCAAAGGCGAAGCGAACAGAAGCCGAGGCAGTCGGTCACCTGAGCCCCCAGGAGGGCCAGTGACCGTTGTCCAAATGGCTCCCGCGCTGCCTGCTGGCTGGCCCTGTCCCCAATGTGCACCCAGGAGCCAGCCTCGGGCCTGATGCCTGGTGCCAGGCCGGGAGCTCAGGAACCTCAACTCCGGGCACGACGTGGTCCCTGGCACCTCCTGCTGGACAGGCTGGGCACCACACGCCTTCGGGAAGCCGCTGAGGGCCTGGCCCATGGGACACCCAGCACTGCAGAGGGAGGTGGAGGAGGAAGGGCTCTGAGCGCGGTGACCGCCTGGAGATGGCCACTCAGTGAGCACGGCAGGCTGTCGGGTCCGGGAGCCAGGCCAGGGTTCTGACCTCAAAGGTATCAGACAGGGCCTCCTGGCCACGGCCAGGCCAGAGCCGTGGTCAGCAGTACATGCTCTGGCTGCTCCCAGCACTAACTGCTGGGCCTTCCTCTCCTTCAGCATGATCCCTGGTGGCCAGCTCTGGGCTGGTGGCCAGCTCTGGGCTGGTGCTTGGCCACACACACAGGATGGGTGGGCTGGCTCCCGGGGTGCTCTTCCTGGCTGCCAACCCCATAAACAGTTATGATTAGATAAAATCATGCAGTGGCCAACACACCCGTCCACTCTGGCTTCCTGAGGGACCCTGTCCACATCACCTGCACTTGGCAGTTCAGACAGCAGCCTGCAGGTTCAGGCCCCGGGGGCCTGGACGCCAGGGGCGCAGGAGCACAGGACCCGAGAGGCCTCTCCCTGGGCTGCACCTGCCCTGGTTCACTGTTGACGGGCAGTGACTCCTGGCCACCAGCTCCTGCCCTGGCTGGCAGGGACAGGCAACTCCAAAGCCCAGGACCTCGAAGGTGAAGCGCCAGAGGTCCTGTCAATGGGAGCCAGGCCCCGGGGACTGGGGGACCTGAAATGCTGGGACCCTGCTAAAGGCAGCAGCTGCTCCTCACCCACTGCATGTGGCCTGGCAGGAATGTGGACCAGGTGACCAGGGCACCTACTGCCAAGAAAACAAATCAGGATTCAGGAGTGAAATCCACCAGCTGATAAATGAAGGTCCACACCACATCTGGGTGCCAGGCAGCGGGCGGGGACACTCCTACTCCAGGTTCTGCCAGGGCCCGCCCGGGTCCTCTGGTCTCCTGTAAGAAGGCCCCTGGCCCTGGAAGCCCGCTGCCCTGCTGAGCACTGGAAGGGCGTGTCTAAGAGGGAAGTGGGCCCGTCCCCCCAACCCGCTGAGCCTAAGGAAGGATATGATGCCCGCGGCCCCAGAGGCCCCAGCCGGCCCGAGGCTGCCCGTCCAGCACTTCTCTTCAGGCCCCAGGCAGAGTCCAGGCTGAAACCTGACCTTCCTGTGGCAGCGTCTGCTGACCCCCAACTCCAGCTGGGGGTGACAGTGGTCTCTGAGTTTCTCTGGATCCAGAAACTGGCTCAGATAATTCTAAAGAATCGATCCATCACGACACCCCAAATCCCAAAGTCCCAAATGCCGTCACAGCATCGAGTCTTTTGAAACCTCAGTTGAAAGACACAAGGATACCCTGGAAGGGGCTGGATGGGGCCTCGGGAATGGGCCCAGAGGGTCAGCCTGGACCCCGGCGGGAGCCCGCCCAGCCCGCGCTGAGCTTCGGCTCCACCCCTGCTCGGATCCAGGGGCCCTGCAGGTTGGGGCGCAGGACGACCGGGTGCTGTCCCTCAGACCTTCCTAAGCCTTTGGCACCTAAGGCGCCAGCAGGGGGCAGCCAGCTGCCGGGGAGATGGCAGTCACCATCTTCTACATCACGGAAACCACAGGTCCGCTCCCAAACACAGGGAAAACCCACCCAAGACCCATCATGCACCGCTACCAGCGAGTCACAAGCCCCGTGCAATCTCAGACCGTCCCCGCCGTCCCCGGGAAGGAAGCCACCCTGTCCCTGTGACCAGGAGAAACCTGAGGCACCGGGTGGAGACACCAGAACCGGGGGCCACTGGCAGGAGGACCCGGCACAGAGCTCCCAACCGTCCTGTGTGGCGTTCAGAGGTCAGAGCCACCCCAGGCCACGTGCCACAGACCAGGCAGGCCGCAGCCACCTCCTTTGTGTCATCAACTGGTTTTAATGATACTAAAAGCCCATCTCGAGTGCGAGGAGAGGAGCCCGGACAGTTAAGAAAACCAGTGGCAGTGGCCGCCCCAGGGCCCTCAGCTCCCTCAGCAGGGCTGAGGCGCATCCTGGGCTTTAACCTGCAGCAAGATGTGGCCACAAAGCCACCTCTTGTGGGCCTGTGCACGGTGACAAGAGGGGGTGGCCTCTGGGGACGGTGGGGACCAGGGTGCCCAGTAGCAGCCCACACCCACTCTCCCAGCCAGCCAGGGTGGCGAGAGTGACAAGACACCCCTTCCTCCCCGTGCTCCCCGCAGATGCTGACGCCAGGGACGGCCTGCTGAGGGTCCTCTGTGGGTCCCTCTGCCCATAAGGGCAGTGACTTCAAAGTCCCAGACGCCCTGCTCTGAGAAGTTAACATCAAAAAAATAAAGTCCACCCGAGGTGCCACGCAGTGTCCTGCGCAGGAGGCCGCTCGGTGGCTCCCGGCTCCCCGCCTCCCTCCGCAGCTCTGCCACCTCTCAAGCCCTTGCAGCCACCGTCTAGAAAGTTCTAACCCCGAGTCAATGCTGGAGAAGCAGGGTGGGCAGCAGGCACCTGTGGAGACCCAGACACCCTGCAACCCCAACTCTAAAACAGAGGACATACTAGTGCTCTTAAAATTTTCAATAATTTAGTTTTTCTTTTTTAGTAGAACTGGATAAAACTGCAATACTACCTCACGTTGGTCCCTGTTAGACAATATGCCTTTCTTTGAAACTTAAAATGTCAAATATATAATTATACAACCTTAGAAAAAATCTCGAAGACGGCAACGACAACAAAAAATAAAATAAAACACCAGAGACGTCACGCCATATAAATAAGTCCGAGTGTGTCTCGGCCCAGGGCTGGCGGCTCCAGTTCCGATGGCGGTGAGTGACGTCATTAGCTGGTGTGGCTCTTGCGTGTCCTCCGGTGGCAGGAGCTGCACCTGTCCCTCTGTCCTTCCTGGCCGAGGCCGGGTGCCCTGAGTCCACCGAGCTGGTTAGTAAGGTTAGGTGTGCGCAGGAAGCTCGGGCGGAGACGGTGCGGGCCCTGGGATGTGGCCTGGAGGGAGCCCGGGTTCAAAGTGCAGTGGCGCCATCCCGAAGGAGCTGTCCGCAGGCCTCACGGGGCAGCACCTTGACACTGTCCCCAGGACTGGGATGGAGTCCGGAGCCTGGCTGCACCGTGAGCTCTGCAAGCCCTGGCGCCCGGTGCCCAGGGTGGAGAATGTGCGGCCCAGGGTGGTGGGCAGTCATGGCCGAGTGGGCCCTGTCCCCACAGCAGTGCAGGGGGCTGGCCAGGGACAGCTGGGCAGGAGCCTTGGGCCATCTTTGCTGCCTGTGGCATGGCCTGCTGGGTCCCCTCACTCCGCAGCTCCGTGGGTGCGGCAGAGCAGTGACACGTGGTGTTCAGAGGTCTCCGTCCACTGGAGGCTGGCAGAGGCGGTAGAGGCTGGTGGGAGCAGGAGAGAGAGGATGAGTGGGACCCCGAGGCCCTTCAGCACTCCCCCGCCACTTTGTTGACCGTATGGGCGATTCACACCCAGAGGACACCACTTGGAAGGAATCATGAGACGGAGCGTGAACACATAGACATGCCACACCTTCCCCAGCTGCCCGGTCCCCTCCCGGGCCACATCTGTCCCCCAGAGGCCGGTGGGTGTTTACAGACACAGGCGTGTCTTTGGAGCAGACCCGTGTGTTCAGATACGGGGGTGGGGGGCGTGGGGTCCCTTCTGCACCTGCGGCCACTAGCGACACCCGGTCTCTGCCGGAGCTCCTCCCTCCGCTGATCCCGGGACCCAGAGGCAGAAGGGTGCAGAGAGGGCTCCGAGCCGAGCCTGCACCTGACGGGGGGCGGCTGCTGGCTCTCCAGCAGGACAGGAGGTCAGATGGCCCACGAGGAGTCCTGACCGCGGAGCGGGAGCAACGCGCAGCAGGCCACCGCAGTACGGGAAAGCCAGGCCCCAGAGGGCTCAGGGGACAGGGCTGGGCCTGGGTTCAGCGGCTCTGCCATCTCCTAGCTAAGTGACCTTGGACAAGATGCTTAACTTCCCTGGGCCTCAGCACCCCCACCTGCCAGCTGGGACCACAGCAGGACCTTGCTCTGAGCATAGCTGTTTGGGTCAAATGGGTCCCCATGGGAAGATGGGCAGGGAACCGCCCAAAAAATATTAGTTAAACAGCTGAGGGTGACGAGCACATGTGGGACCCTGGGGTACCACCGAGGCCTGCAAGGACTGCAGCACCACCAAGGGCAGCGGCCTGGCCCGACCACGTGCTGGGGCCACGGAAGACAGCGTCCCTGGGGGAGTGGCCCCAGGGCGTGCGGGGACACTGCACGACTTTAGCAGTAATCAAGCTGTTTCAAGATGAGAAGCTATTTAACACCGTGGGCAGACGTGGGGAAGGAACTGGGCAGGGTGGGCGGGAGACAGGGTCTGGCCCAGTGAGCCCAGGTCCCAGGGGCTGCAGAGGGCTCAGTGCCACCGAGAGACGGCGGGGTGGAGGACGGGAGGGCAGACTGGCCGCAAGGTGCTGACCAGGTCCCCCCAGCAGCCACCCGCGGCTCACTTAGGACCTTTAGGGACCCTTTCCAGGGCTCCAGGAGAAGCAGGTCCTCGTGAGGTTACAGATTGAGCCAGACTCGTCTCTCCCAAAGCAGGGTCCTCAAAAGCCAGATGGGGCCCTGGCAGAGCCCAGGGGTCTGCCAGGCTGAAGGCCCCCAGAGGAGACGGGGCAGGGGCCACTCACCGCGGTGCACCCTGGGGCATCTGATCCTTGACTCGGAGGTTTTTGGCCAGAATCTCTACTCTGGGGCCCTGGAAGGAGAGAGTGTCAGCCTGGGACCCTGGAGGAGTTGGGACAGGCAGGGACACCTGGCTGCGGGTGGGGTCCCTGGAAGCTGTCGCCCTCGGGCTCCCAGGTGGGCTAGGTCTGGGCTGAGGGCGCACAGGCCCAGGAGGCCTCCCCCACTGCAGGGAGCAAGCAGCTCCCCTGGGCCCAGCCTGGAGCGCCGCCGAGGCCCACCTGCTTCCGCATGATGTCCGTCGCCTGCATGATGCACTTGGGCAGCAGCCCGTGGCTCCGCGCCAGGATAGCCGCCTGCTCCAGGGACACGCTCAGGGTGCTCCTGCGGGTGGGAGAGGGTGTGGGCAGCGGCTCCCACCGCCAGGCCCCACCTCCAGTGCCGTCACCCCGTGTGGCTGCGCTGCCCACCTCCGCCCTGCGTCCTCTCCAGGCTGACCTCCCCCACCTGCCCTCCTCCTGGCAGCTGCCACCCCTCGGCAGGTCACTGCTGCCAGGCAGGGCCTGGGGGCTCTCAGTGAGCTGAGGGCTAACCGAGGGGACTCCTCCGGCCTGGCCTCTGCTCAGTGGCCCCCAGCACAGCCACGTGGCTCAGACCCTATCGAGTCAGAACCGGCTTGGCACCAGGCCTGCAGCTGGAACCCCACCCTGCGCCCTTCACTCTGGGACCCTGGACAGACGGGTCCATCTCTGCACACCCCATTTCCTGACAATCAAGACGAATGTGTCATTGACGTGGGGACCAGAAAGAGGGCTGTCCCTCTGCAGGACACTGCAGGACACTGAGAGCACCTGGCCCCACCACTAGATGCCAGTCCCCAGACACTGCCAATGTCCCCTGGGGAGCAAAACTGCCCCTGGCTGAGAGCCCCAGGATGGGCCCTTCCACACCAGCTCAGCTGGGAGGAAATGAGCCCCTGGGTGCAGACACCTCGGCAGTGCCCAGCTCGCAGGGCGCCCTCCTCCCTTGATGGGACACGACTGGACGCCCGCCCGTCAGGTACCTATCAGTGCTGGACACTGGGCTAGGTGGTGGGCTACGGCAGAGAGTGACACGGCCCCTGACCTCACGGGACCCTGCCTAGGGGTGGCGGGCAGCAAACAGAGGCCCTGGTGAGCGGGAGGCACTTAAGTGGGGGGACGAGGGGGCCTGGAAGGGCCCACTGGAGAGGGGCGGTCTTCCTCCCTGGGGCCAGCACAAGGGCAGGGGACAGAAGAGAGAAGTGTCCAGCAAGGCCAGGAGACCAGCGCAGCCCGAGGAGGTGTGCAACCCCGTTCCTCGCAAATGGCAGGCTCGGGAGCCCGGCACCCGGCTCCAGGACAACCACAGTCCTGCCACCCTCCACTGCGGCCGCATCTCACAGCAACCTGCGGCCAGAGCGCCGAGGCCCTGCCCGGGGCCGGCAAGCAGTGGAGGACCAGGCCTTGGGCCCAGCCGCCCTGACCCCGAGGCCCAGCCCTCCCCAGCCTACCTCTGCATGCCGGTGCCGCACAGGGCCATCTGACAGGCCCCCAGGCGGTAGCAGAGCTCCGAGGAGACAGGGATGAGGCTGGCACCCAAGCTCCCACCGGCCCCAGGTTTGGGGTGCACCAAGGACTTCATGAGGCGGCAGAGCTCGTCCAGGGCATTGATGGGGCGGATCAGCTGCAAGGCGTGGGACAGATATAATGGGGACGCTCGGGGCACAGCTGAGGGCCTCTGGCCTGCCTCCCCATCTCCTCCTCATCCAGAGGTCCCTGCACCTGTCCCCCCAGCGCCCTCTCCAAGGTTTCCATGACCTCTGCTCAAGAGCAATCTGTGGCTCCCCGCTACCCTGCAGCTGGCGTTCGGTGTTCGCCCCGTACTTCAGGTCTCACCCCCCGGCCTGGCCTCTTCACTGCCCAGGGCGTCCTCCAGACCCCTCCTGAGGAGGAGCCCTCCCTGCTGTCCCAGACCCCCAGCCACCGCGTGGAGGTAAAGGTGGCTCAGTCTTCCTGTGCCATGGCGAGATCCCGCCGGCCACACATCCCACAGCGCGGTGCCCAGCATCTCCCAGGGCAGCTTCCAGCCCCAAGGCCAGAATGCCAAGCCGGGGTGAGGCCTGCACAAGCCGGGAAGGCCGGCCACAGACCCTGAAGAGCAGGGGCCAACAGGCCGGTGGCCCGGGCAGCCCCGCCCAGCACAGGCCAGCCTGTGGGGAGGAGCCCCCAGGAGGCCTCACACCTGTCCACTTCTCAAAACAGCTGGAAGCCTCCGTGGTTCTCAGGAGATCTCTTGATCTCTAAGTGCCCACAAACAATGTGAAGGAAAAGAGGACCTGGGCCCACCCGGCGAGGGTCCACCTCTCTGACCCGCAGTCACCACAGGAGCAGAGAGAGCAGACCACCAGTGAGCAGAAACCACCTGGGGACCCCGGGGCCCCGCCCAGCCCAGCTGCAGGGGGACGCACCTGGTCTATCTTCACGGCGGTGGTGCTGGCGTCCGTGGGCAGGTTAGACCGCTCCAGGTAAAACGCCCTGAGGGAGAGAGAGGCTGAGAGGGGCCACCCCGCCACAGCTGCAGGGCCGTGGTCTCCCAGGAGGAATCCCTGTGCCCCAGAGGAGGCCACCCTCAGGGCTCCTCTGACAGCCCCCAGCCGCAGGGCACCTCCCCCCCCCAGTGCTGTCCTCAACTGCCCCCGCCCTGCTGCCGCCCAGACCTGCTCTTCCTCCCTGAGCCCCGTCCCCGCCTGGCCCTGGGCGCCGCTCACTGAGTCGCAGAGGTTCCTCTAAAGGGCCAACCCATGGGCACCTAGGCCTTGGGAACCAGGCGGTCTCCACTGGGCCGTGGAAGGGAGTAGAAGCCACCGGTGAAAGACGAGCTTGTGGAGCAGGTGGATGACAGCAAATGGCAAACCAGGCCCCAGGGGAGGAGGCCCTGACACTGGACCTGCCATCTCCTAATTCTCAGCCACCCTTTGTCACCAAGGCAGGACTCGGAGGGCCACAGTTGAGGCTGCTGGGGACGTGGGAGCTGCTCCCCTGGACACGTGCTTACTCCCAGCAAAATCTGTTCCTTCCACTTCTCCCTGCAGGTGTGACCAGGACAGAGGCCCAGGGGCCACGCCCCTCTCAAGGCCCATGAATCTCAGCGCCCATCTCAGCTCCGGTCCCCACGCAGAGTGGACAGGCAGCTCTGCTCAGCAGAAAGGACCTGCTTTGAAGCCAGACTGTTGGCTGTGTGACCATGGGCACACTGTGTATGCCCCTGGGTCTCAGTTTCCTCATCTGGAAAATGAGTTAGCATGACCTACTGTGCGCACTGCCATCGGACTCTCATGCAAAGGCCCCGCACAGAGCAGGTGCCCCAGAAAGGGGCGTCTGGCCCACTCCTCCCACGGAGGGCCTGCCCAGCACTGCTGTGTCCACGCCCTGTGGCAGCTCTCTGAACCCTGGCCCAGCACAGCCCCAGGCACACACCTGAGCTTGCGGTAGTACTGCTGGACCTTCTCCAGGGACTGGGCATTGACCTCCTGCTGCAGGTCCTCTGCTGCCTGGCTGCCCACAGGAGGCGGCCCCTCCACGTTCTCCAGAGCTGAAGGGAGAGGACGGAGGGCAGGGGCTGGGTCCCCAGTGCTTGGTGGCCTTGGCTCGGCCCCTGCGGTCCCCCACAGCCGCAGCTCACCTTTCGTGAACAGCACGGTGTGCAGGCGGAGGCTGGCCCCGCTCTCCAGGCGGGAGGGCAGCTTGGAGAAGTGGTCGCTGTCGAGGTAGAAGACCACCCTCAGCGCCTGCCGGCCGCCCTCGATGTGGTAGGAGACGTTGGTGTCTGCGGAGGACAAGGCCACACGGGCTCACCGCAGGGCCCCGCCCCCGCTACAGGACCTTCAGCTCTCCCTTCCCCAGGTGCCAGAGTGACACCCAGTGCCTCCCTGTCCCCCCACTCCAGAGGGATAACCCCAGACCCCCTTCTTCCCAGCCTCAGGTGGCACCCTGGGACTTCCATGTCCACTCACGCCAGAGTCGCATCCTGTGACCCCCGTTCCCCCAGCCTAGAGAGCGCCTCAGAGAGCCCCACCCCGCGGAGCCGCCTGTGACCTGCCTCTGGGACACCCTCAACAGCTGCTGGTTGCCACTGCTTTATTCTTGGCCCCGACACCGACTGCCCAGCAGGGGAGCCAGCGGGTGTCTTCAGAGCCCTACGGGTGCTCCCCTCACCCTTTGCCTGGTCACTCAGGGCCCCACCTGGCAAAAGCTGCCCTCCAACAGGACCTGCATCTCGTTCACCCCCATGAGGAAGAGCTGCGGGCCAGGGGGGGCAGAGTGCAGCCCTGGGGACCCCTGCTGCGCCTGCAGGTGTCACTGGTGGACCAGGGCTTCTCCCGGGGCCCAGGTCGGCCCACGACAGGCAGCACCACAGCCAACTCAAACTGGCCCCTGTGCAGCCGTCTGCGTCCTCTGCAGGGACGGTTCTGCCCCAAGGAGGTCAGAGCTGGTCCTTGAAGGGGAGGACGGGTGTTCCCGAGAGCCCAGACACGCGGCCCAGACACACAGCAATTTCAAGGGGGTGGCACTTGGGAAAAAGCTGTCTCGGGGGGCTTTTTATGAAGTGAAGTGAAAGAGCACCGATCTAGAGAGCAGCCCTAGGCCCATGAGCTCTGGAGTCCTGGGGACAGCACGTGGCACACGGGCGCCCTGCTCCACCCCCGAGTTCCCGAGGAGGGAGGTCTGGGCGGGGTCCCCAGGGCCGAGCAGAGCCGCGCTGGAAGCACACACAGGGTTCTCGGCCTCCGCGGGAGGTCACCTGCGCTCCCCCGGGACCCCTGCCCAGGCCCCACCTGACCCACAGCAGCCAGCGACTGGGATCGGCATCTCTGATGCCCCCAGGTGACCCCAGGGAGAGACCACGGGGAGGGCAGAAGCTGTGGCCATGCTGCCCGGCACTGTGGCCCAGAGCCCGTCTCTGGCTGGCAAGTACCGGGTGCTCCCTGCTGCGGACGTGTCTGGGTGGGTGGTGCGAGTGGGTGGGCAGGGGGTGGGCAGGGCAGAGGGAGGAAGACAGGACCGAGGAACCTCAGGTAATCAGGCCTTAGTCCCTAAGAATCTTAATTCTTCCCGCAAAGAGGGGCGAGTCTAGGGTGGGATCTGAATGAGAATCGCTCGTGGGTCTTTTAAGGGTGCTGGGGCAGCTGGGTTGATGGGGAAGACCCCTTCCACGTGTGCTGCGATTCAGCTCTGAGACTCCAGCTGGGGTGTGAGGCTCGGGCAGCTGGCCTGCTCGAAGGGGAGGCCAGGTGGCCCCCGCGCTCCTGCCGCCTCAGTGTCCTGACACCCATCGTGCGGGGGAGTCACTCACTGGCCACGTAGTTCTCATCCAGCTGCTTGAAGGAGAAGCTGACGTTGTCCAGCTCCGACAGGGTCACCCAGATGTCCTCCAGCATGGTGCGCTCCTCCTTCTGCAAGAAGACACATGAGGGACCTCGGGTGCCACCCACCCCAAGCTTTCCCTGGACAAGCTGGGGTCCGAATCTAGGCCACGTGCTACACAGCGGGCTCCTCCCACCGGTCCTGCGTGTGCTCTGCCTTCAACTTGTCCTGCACCCCAGGGTCAGAACCCATCTCGCTCTGACTTGCTGAGCGGCCCTTCCCTGGACCAACGGTCACTGACAACCATTCCAAAGCTAACCCACCACCCCTCCCTGCCCCTCCAGCAGGCCCCACCCACCCGATTCTCTCTCCCCTTGCCCCATACACAGCCATGACCAAGCCCTGAGACCCACCATCAAAACACGCTCCAGAGCCCCCCAACCTCCCAGCCACCACTCCAGGGGGTCCACGTCCCAGGAGGACCCCACAGTTCCCCCTTACCCTCCCCCAAACAACCCCCCTCTCCCCGTGCTATCACCTTTGTCTAACTTGAACCCACATCCCACCTCTCACCTGCCTCCAACCGGCGAGCCTCCTGCCCAGAGCGAGGCCCAGCCCTGCAGGCCCAGCCCGCGCACCTCACCACCCACCGCCTCCCTGCTCCTGGGCCACACTGCCTCCGTGGGGACCTGAGCACAGCTGCTCCCTCTGCCCCATGCTGTTCCTCAGGCCATCTGTCTACTGGCTCAAAGGTCACCGCTTCAACACGGCCAGCTCTGACCACAGATTCCCAAGAACGCCATGGCCTCCACTTCCCTGCCTCTCCCGCCAGCCTTCCATTCTGTCTTCTCATCTGCCTCCCCAGCTGGAAGGTGAGCTGCAGACCCCAGCAGTCTGGTGCCTCACAACATCAGAGACCAAACGGACAGGGACTAGCATCTGGCTCTAAGACATGAGGGCTGGTGTCCGGGCAGCCTTTCTGAGTCCAGTGAGAGCAGACCTCTGCCCAGCAGAGGGCGCTCCGAGGCCACACTTCCCACCAGCCAGCGGCTGGGCCTTGGCCACCAGAGCCAACCAGCACTACAGGTATTTGTCCTGGGGACTGTTGTAGGACACTGACGAGCATCTCTGGCCTCCACACACCAAGTGCCAGAGACACTACTCCTGGATCTTTCAATTGCTGTAACTAAAAATGTCTCCAGATGTTGCCAGTGTCCCCTGGGGCAAAACCGCCTAGCTTGAGCACCATGGTCTACACCACGTCTTTTACTTATGTGTGTCTCCCGCCCACCAGGATGTAAGGCCCCAGTTCCTAACAGCGGTACATGGTAGGTGCTCAATAAACACCTGCTGTGTGAACAGCGGGGCCATGGGAGCCAACTGCAGGGGACACAGGCTGAGGGGCCTCCCGTCCTCCTCTGCCCACTCACCACTGCGGCTGGCGCCAGCAGGGACTGGCAGTGCAGCAGGACCCCGGTGGCGGCCACCTGCTCCAGCCACTTGCGGCTGGCGTCCCGGCTGCTCTCCTCGTACTCGCCGTTGTTGTTGTAGCGGTAGCTGAGGGCCGCCAGCAGCTGCTCGGAGAAGGTGCACACGGCGGCCACCAGGGCCTGGCAGAAGATGGCGTCCCTGCGCAGCTGCAGCTCGGTGTCTGTGATGGACCGACAGGCCTCTGGGCAGGTGCTGGCAGCAGGCTGCACCACCCCTGGCCCCGAGCCCCCCACAGACCCTGCATGGGGCAAACTGGCCAAAAGTTCACTTGGGCCAAAAGCCAGGTCCACAAAACTCCCCCTCCGTGAGCAAGCCACTTCACCCCAAAGCTACTGCTCCCCCGACCAAGCAGGTGGGCCCGTGGGTTCCCGGCCACTATCCAGGCCCGTCCCTGGCCATCTCTCTGGGATGCAGCACTTCTCGGCCCGGCCGGCTGTGTGCCAGTGGTGCGGCTGTGCCACCGTTGAGACCGGTGTTCTCCTGCTGCCCCGCCCCTCCACCGCCTGGCCCCGCCCCTCCACCGCCTGGCCCCGCCCCTCCACCACCCCGCCCCACCTGAGGCAAAGAGGCTGCAGGTCTCAGCTGCTGAGAGGAATTACCCTCAATGTCTGGCCAGCTGGGTGCAGCTGCCTATTTTGACCTGGATCCTCCCTTGACTACAAGTTTCTGGGAAGAAGGGAGGGACAAAGGTGGACAAACGAGGCCCACCCCACCTGCAGCTCGGGCCTCCACCGTCTGCTGGGTCTGGAGCCTACTGACAAGCAGCCTCCCTCGCCCTCCGTCCTCTATCCTGTGTCCTCGTCAATAGTCACCCAGGTAGCAGGTGGCCCAAGACAGGGCTCCCAGCTCCAGGGACTGAGACTTGTCCCTTGGACACAAGGTGCAAGTCTTAGAGGGGCAGGAGGCCAAAGTATCGCCTTCCCCAGTGCAGATCCTGAGGGGCCAAGAAAAAGTCACCCTGGCCACAGAAAAGGCCTCCCCAGGCTGTCCTCATGGACGCCCACAGCCAGCGGGCCTCGCTGGGTACCCCTGGGCCCATGCACTCACGGCTGCCCCTCAAAGCCCTCACCTGTGCACTTCAGCAAGGCCAGGAGCAGCTGGTTCTTCCCATCTGAAGGAGGAGGGAGAGGAGGAGGAGGCTAAGGGGGGCTGGCAGGTGACAGCAGAGCTGGCCCAGCCCCGTGCCTGAGCCTCACAGAGGGCCAGTGCTAAGGCTGCACGGGGGCAGTGTCTACTGAAGGGTGGCAGGTCCCCATCAAGCAGAGACGACAGCTTGCACTTCGATCTCTGGAGCCAGAGTCGCTGCACACACACACAGGTACACACGCACACACAGTACACACGCACACACAGTACACACGTTTGTGATACACCCACTCACACCAGCAGAGACTGAGTGCACACAAGTACAAACACACACCCAAGCTTGGCCATCCTGGACAGCACGGCTGCCCTCAGGAGAAGGCCCTCCCTCCTCAGACGCCTGCCAGCAGGCGGCTCTCCTTCAGAGGTGCCCTGGGGCCAGAAATGCCTCAGAAGGAAAGTCTAAGTCCTGATGCAGTCACTTGAGGTACCGTCTTCCCTAGGATGTCAGCCAGAGCAGGTGCCAGTGGCTGAGCGTGCCCCCTCAGGCAGGGCACTAAGTGCTGATGGGTACTGACTGGTTTATCCTCCTGACCCGCAGGGGCAAGCGGGAGCACTGGGAGCTGCTGCACACGCAGAAGTGGGGGCCAGAGAAGGCAAGGGTGTGGAGGTCGCATGGCCACAGGTGTGTGGCCTGGGATTCAAGCCCTGGCCAGCTGGTCACAAAGCCCACACAACTGCAGATTTGTAAACAGAACAGCTCAGGGCCAACAGAGATTCCAGCTCAGAGGTGGCTTCTCCTTGGGGCCACACCCCAGTCCTTCACCTCCTGCTTTCCCAGTCCAAGGTCCCGCGCCTGGGTCCTCTAACCCAGGAGACCCATATTCAAATACCAACAAGGACGGGGGCGGGGGCCACATGAGAGGTGTGGCATAGATGCCAGGCTGCAGGGAACTGGAGAGCACCCCTCGCCACCCCAGAGGGCAGCCACCACTCATCTCCTGCCCCAGTGAGCATGGGACGGCTGGCCTGCTGCCACCTAGAGCAGCCAGGGGAAATCCTGCTTCCCGGCGAGACCTGACCAGACACTGGGCGCCCATCCTTCTGCGGCCCCCACCTGCCAGCTTGCAGCCTCCGTGATAAACAAACGACTGAACCGAGCCCCTTTGGAAGCCATGAGGAACAAGCTCAGCTCTGCAGCCTGCGAGACGGGCTCAGCACCATGGGCACCGGGTCAAGGGTCCACAGCCCGGGCTGGCCAGGGGAGGTCACTCAGCTGACAGCGTGCAGCCACTCCTCTTCCCCTTCCCTGAGCACACAGGGCAGGGGGCACAGAGGTGGGCCCCAGCAGGACCCTGCTGCATTCCAGACCCAGCCAAAGGCCACAGACCCCCCATGACCCTCTCTGCCCACAGACCTTCCACGTATCTCTGGATGTTGTCCACCAGGGTCTTGATGGAGTTGGGAAGGTTCCAGGGGTCCTCCTGGATGCTGATCTGGATCAAGCTCCGGCCACGGACCATACACTCTTCTTTCTGTTTGAACTCTGGGGCAGGAAAGCGGCATGAGGGCCAGGGAAGGGGCTGAGGTGGCTTTGGAGAACAGTGGTACAAAAGCCCATGCCCTGTCACCAGATTCCAAAGCTTATAACCTAGATCCAGGGAGCAGCAGGCTCTAGGATGTAATCCAGGCCTTGGAGAACAAATGGTAAGTGTGCTACCACTTCACATGCCATTCCCATCGCAGACATCACTGATCCATCTCAGCACCCTTTCTGCTAGTCGGGGGCCAGGATCCACAGCCACAGACAACCCAGTGTAGGCAGCACCAATCAATCACAGCAGTCTTTGCTCCCAGATCTGGACCCTGTAGCCACAGAAGCCTTCTTCTCAGGTACCAGGTCTCCATGCCACAACCAACTAAGCAGGCACATGAGTTGTGACCTAGTTCTAACCCTTCCCTATACAGAGGAAGAAGCCCAGGCAAGTCACTTGCCTAAAGTCACACTGGGTAGTGGGAGAACTGGGACCTGAATGTGGCCCTAACAGGGCCAAAGGCCAGGCACACGCAGGTCCCTGTTCCCTTGGCCTCTTCCCGGGTCTCTGAGGTCTTTGTGGCTTGGGGCCCTCTCTGCTGTTTCTTCCTGAGGTTCACCCCTGGACAGGGGATTGACACAGCGGGAGGGACAGCTGAGCAGACCCGATGCTCCCCTGGAGGCAGAGGCTGTCCGCATTCCCATCTCCTGCACACAGCTGGGAGCCCCCGAGGTCAGCAGTGTCCCATCCTGCTCAGGGTCACCAGCACCCAGCACAAGGCCTGGCACAAGCTGGCTCTAGGGAACTATTTACCTGCTACATAGCTGCACAGATGGACTGGCAGCTGGGGACGGACAGATGGTGAGGGGGGGTTAGTGGGATGAAAGGCAGGAGGACATAAGAAATGTCAATTCTTTTCATCTCAATCATTGCAGAGGAAAGTCTCAGTTTGGTGCTGGTGAGGCCTGAACGCTTCTCTCACTCACACAGCCCCCTCCTGAAGAGCAGCAGAGGCCCCGGGCAGGGAGCCATGCCCACCTGACCGCAGTGGGATGACACTGTGGCTTTCCCATTAAGTTGATCACTGTGGCTTATCATTAATATATGGCCTACCACACGGGCTCTTCCTATGGGGGCATTTTAATAAGATCCTTTTAAAATTCAATTTCCAAAAGGAAGATACCTTTTCAAAACCTATTTGTTCATTCACTTAGGTACGGGGGAATCGGACCACCAGCCCTTCATCACTGAGCTACATCCCCAGTCCTTTTTTTTTCCTTTGAGACAGAGTTTTGCTAAATTACCAAGGCTGATCTCAAGCTTGAGATCCTCCTGCCTCAGCCTCCTGAGTCACTAGGATCACAGGCCTGCACCACCATACCCCACAGGAGATGCCATTAACAAAACAAAAGTCACATCAATAATAAACTCCGCAGCAAATTCACATGGCTGCAAAGTGGGATGAGGGGAGCAGATCCCCGTGGGCGTGACAGACAGGAAGTGCACTCCAGGCTGTCCCTTGTGTCACAAATGGGCAGGCCCAGGGGACCCAGGGACCAACCCCAGGACACCAACTGTCCCTGTAGAGAGCCAGGTCAGGCTTTGCAGCTCCTGCAGCTTCTACCACACAGACCTAGTTGTTCGGCTTTTATGAAGCTTTAAAAATAAAACATAAGGACGACAGTGGAGACAGATTCTGAGCGAAAGCAGGCTGTGGGCTGACGTGGCCCAGGAGTCTGCCGGCCTGGACCAGCCAGAGCCACGCAGCAGGGCTGTGGGCCACAGCGTCCACCCTGCTCCCACCGGGCGCCCCTCACCTTGGAGACTGTGCTCCATGGGGAAATGCCTGGTCTCCTCGAACGCCCTGCCCATCACCGGCCCCTTGAGCAGCGTGTTGATGGCGTCCACCTGGAGACAAGAAGCCCCCGGTGAGTGTGGCTGCCCGGGGGCTGCGAGGACCCAGGGCCACACCAGGCTGGGACAAGGCCGACCTGGTTGAAGAGGTGCTCCAGGCAGCCATGGAGCTTGTCCTGCTTGTCCGATGGGATGCGCATGTCACAGGGCAGCTCGTCCCCTGGCAGGAGACAGAGCGTGGCTGTCAGTCACTGCTGCCCCACCCCGCTCCTCCCCAACCTCTTCTCAAGGAGGCCACACGGCCATAGAGCCCTAGACCCACAGGGGACATGCAGCCTGCCAGACTCAGGCCCCAGCTGAGTCACTGGGAAAATCCCTGGACCTCTCTGAACTTCTGTTTCTTCATCTAAAAAATGGGCAAGAAGCACTAACACCCCCCAGATGGCAAGCTGTTGTCATTCCCACTCCACAAATGAGGGCACTGAGGACAAAGACCTGGATCCCAGCCCCACGGAGTCACGGCCCCTGTTCCAGTGAAGTCAGCTGCCACTGAACCCCTCTGAGGACATATTTCAATGGCCTGATCTTCTGTCATGAGACATGAGAGCCAGCCACACAGTCCGCCTTCCTGGGCCTTCTTTTCTTCTGCCACATGACGGGGGCAAGTTTTTATGTACAGAAGTCCTCTGGCAGGACACAGCAGTAACGGGGTGCAGGGGGGACGGCCTGGGCAGCAGGAGGCTGTGGCTGAGGGTGGGAGGGACCCGCCACCTCAGCCTGTCTCTTGTCTTTCTAACAATGGCCCATGTGGACGTGTGACCTATTTATGCACAAAGTGTACTTTCTAAGTCTGAGTGAATGAGACTAAAATTAAAACGCAGCAACGTCAGGCTTCAGGAAGCGCTGCAGACACAGCATGACCTCATCTGATCATCCACCTGTCCGTCCAGCGGCCCGCCAGCCACCGCCATGTCCCTCTGCATACACATGCCCTTGCCGACGGCATCCAAGTACCATCGGTGGGCACACCTGGGAGCACGACGGGTTTGGATTCGAGTTCACTGGCTTCCTTAAACCTTCCTGTGCTATCTGGACTTTGGGTTGGTGCGTGGTCCTTCCTATGGGCCCCCTTGGTTCCAGGGGTCTGTGGGACCTCAGAGCACCCACCACCCACACATCCCATGCAACCACAGGCCATGGTGCACGACCGCACCGAGGTCTCTATCCGCTCTGTGTTGGGATCTTAGCTTTGCTAAGTTCCAGCACCTGGCATGTGAGAGGTGCTTGACTAAGTACCTGCCAAACCAGGACACAGAAGGAGACTCCATGAGATGCAAAGCCACGACCTGCAAACGGCCGAGCAGGAGGAGCCCGCTAGCCACCCGCCAGGACCCGCCCCGCTGGGTGGCCCACTCACCGGACCCCATCTCGTCGCTGCCCAGGTAGGAGCTGTTGCTTCTCACACTGGTGTAGGACAGGACCGAGTCCCGGTTGCTGTTGCACTCGCTGTGTTGGGCGAGACGGCGGGTTACCCTCCCCTCGCGCCCCTGGCCCCGCACCCAGACCCGCTCCAGAGCACGGCCAGACCCCAGCCCAGGGACAACCAGCCGGGGGCCTCTCAGGTCCGCAGGGGGGAAGCGCTTCACGGCCCAGCACAGAAACAGAGAGGAGAGTTGCTTCCACTCAGCTGTCACCACTGTCCCAGGTCCCCAGTGCTCCCGAGTGCCTGGCTCTTCTTAGGGACAACCCTGACTCTGGGCACAACCCACCACTCACCCGACCAAAAGGAACTCAAGGAATCAGGAGCAGCTGCTCCACCATTCCACCCCACGCTCTTTGACAATTCAACGAAAACCAGAGGGACAGGAACTTCAGAAGGAAAACCCAGAGACGCGAGGGGCCTTGGCCTCGGAGCTCCGAGGACAGCACACAGGCAGCCAGAACGACCCGGTTACAGACCCCAGGAAACCGGGCACAAAGACCAGGCAGGTCCCGTGGGGACAAGAGGAGCATTCGCTGGCCGCATCCCTGCAGCCCTGGGCTTTGCCCACCAGAGGGGGTCTGGCTGCCTCGACTCCTTCTGGCTGCAGCTGAAGGTGACAAGGCCCTTCTCAGGGGGTCCGGGGCTCATTAGGCTGAGATAAGAAATTACCAGCAGCCAGCGCAGAGTTAGCACAGGGAACCGAGTTCTAATCTATTTAACCCGCTAATTAAAGCCCCACTGATCTTGTTACAATTAATCTAACCAGTGGCAAGACAGCTCACAGCCTCTCAGAAGAAAAAGAAAACAGACTTATTCCTCAGATCAAGTGAAAATAAATAGCATTCATGTAAAAACTACATTTTTTTGTAGTGCTGGGGACTGAACCCCGGGGTGCTCTACCATTAAGGTGCACCCCCAGCCCTAACTACCTACCTACCTATCATCTACTTATTTTGAGACAGAGCCTCACTAAGTTGGCCAGGCTGGCCTTGAACTTGGGATCCTCCTGCCTCGGCCTCCCCAGCTCTGGGATTACAGGCGTGCATCCCTATGCCCGGCAGAAACCACAGGTCTTAAACCAAGTCTGAAGCACACCGTGTGGGCAGATCAGCCCTCTCCTCTGCACTGGGACACGTATGGCTGAAAGGGTGGCGTCTACCAGGCCAGGCAGAAGCGCCAGCCTGGGCAGGGAGCTGGGTGGGCTCTCTGGGATGCACCTTGGGCGGGTCTCAGGGCCAGACCACCGCATTCCACAAAACGTCCATGGTCCCAACTTCCGCATGGTCAGAGGCTCACTGTCCTGCTGGCCGTCCCACCAAGCCCTGGGCCACCCATACCATGCCCACCTGTAGGAGTCGCGGTAGCTCATGGTGTCGTGGCCCGAGTCCTCCTGGTCTTCCTCAGACACCTTGAAGCACACTTTCTTGATGCCCCCATGGTCGGTCCTGTCCATCTCGCTCTCCTCGCTGACCAGTGAGGAGGAGGAGGCCTCCTCAGCCAGGGGCGGGTCACAGGCCTCGCCAGGGGTGGGCTCCGTGATGGTGGACAGCAGCCTGCAGGGCAAGGGCTCCAGGTAAAGGCCCAGGCCCCAGCTTCACCAGCTGTGACCTTTGATCCTGCACAGGGAGCTGCCCAGGGTTTTGTGTCCCCCCCCCCTCGGAAAGCCCACCACAACTGCGCAGCCACCCGCGGCCCTGCCGGGGTAAGAGCGCAGGTTCATGCCTTCTGGCGGCTCCCGGCCTGGCTCTGCGCATGGGCTGGGGCTCTGCACATGGCCCAGAGGGCATGGCTTCCAGACGGCAGGCCGCAGGGCCTCGGACACCCCTGGGCTCTGCCACCACGGACAAGAGCACCGGGGACAGATGGCAGGTAAACACGCACACAGCTCAGCACAAGGAAAAGTCATTCAAAAGGCAGTTCCTGCCCAGGCCGCAGCCCCTTCAAACCCTAACGCCACCACCTCCTGTATGAGAGGCCTGAGGCAAACTGTTCATGAGACTCGACCTGCGCAGCGGGATGGTGTCACAGGAGCCTCAAGGTGGGGACTGACACGCCACGCGTTAGACACAGTGCTGGGCCTCGCAGGCGACCCACAAGCCCGGGCTAGCCACCATCCCGCCTGTCACGAGATCAGGGTCACAACTGGCCCCGCTCTGCAGGTGAGGAAACCGAGGTCAGAGAGGCAGCCTGAGGTCACACGGCCAACAGGCCAGGAGTAAAGCCCAGGCCTTGGGCTCCTGAGTCTGCAGCCGCGGCCTCTACAGAGAAGTCCCCACCCATGAGGCAGAGGGCGTGACAGGACCTCAGGAGCCTGCAGCAGGGGCAGCAACACGAGGGGTCCACCTGTCGCTGCAGCCCCCCCTCCCAGCCCTGAGGATTAAGAGAGCCTCGAGAACAAGTCACCCTGTCCATCCCCCTTGTGACTCTAGCACAGGGCTTTTCAGCCTCTGATCTCCCCCAGGGGCAATGTGCCTTGCAGGGGGCAATGTGCCTTGCAGGGGACACTGGACGCCGTCTTGAGACGGTCTGGGTTGTCATCACAGGGGCAAGGGGTTCTAGGGCCTCTGGGGGATGGAGGTTGGTGACGCTGCCACCCACCCACAGTGCCCAGGGCGGCCCCACAACACAGAATGACCCACCCAAAATGCCAACAGGCTCCAGGGATACGCCCTGTCTTAAGGTGACCATGTGCCTCTCACTATGCAGAACGGAATCAGCAGTTACTTAGCCCCCTTAGTACCTAGTCCCTGCTCAAGTGTCCCTGACACTCTCAAAATCGTCCCCTCCAGGCGGGTCATGTACTGCTTCATCTCCTTGAGGGCCACATCCAGGAGGGCCCCAGCCCCATCCAGAGGCTGCTTCTGGTGGCTGGTCTCCAGGGTCCTAATGGCTATGTCCTGCCTCCTCCCCGACATGTTTGCTGAAGAAAGGGGTCACTTTCATGCAGAATGGCCCACCTCTGGCCTGCCCATCCCGGAGGTGCCATCAACCCTGCTCTGCCCCACTCTGCTGCCCTGCAGACACTCAGTGCCCACCCTTGGCACAGGGGGTGCTGCATGCGCCCTGCTGTGTCACAGCAAGGGGGACCTCAGGTCCAGCTGTCTATCTTCCTGGGATGTTAAAAGAACAAAGATCCCAAGGCTTTCACCAGGTGCTTCGGCCTCCCTGAGGAGGCTGCAGCACTCACTGCTCTGCCGGAAGGGTACTATGGCCCCCAGGGGCATCTGGCAATGTCTGTAGACACTCTGGGTTGTCACCTTGGGAGTAGGAGTGCCCCTGGCATCTGATGAGCCCAGCCCATTGTGTACACGACAGCTCCCCTCAACAAGTTCACTCCCGTGCTGTGGAGTGAGGCCGAGGGCCCCGCCTCCCCGCGGCCCCGCCTCCCCGCGGCCCCGCCTCCCCGCGGCCCCGCCTCCCCG